ATAATGCAATACTTTCGGGGGGGAACATATGTTGAATTAAAGCGTAACTGACTGTATCACAGTTCCAAATGTGCTTCTAGAGGAAGTAGAAATGGCCCAAAATTGAACAAAGAAGCAAAAAGGAAGTGGATTAGATAGTGTACAGGGAGTTAGATCCATGTTAGAGGAGACATAATTGTGAGGGTGGTAAGGTATCAATTTTACAAAGTATCTAAAGCAGGAAAAGAAAAGGACAACAGAGAATATCAACACCTACCCAACTATATGAATACTTTCCATTTACATAAAAATTTCATGAGAATCATCTACCTATGAATCCAGGGCATTCCTAACAAGACAACTAATAAGAAACAGGCAGATTTTTCACAACTGGTATTCCATAATGGAGAAGGAAACGGCATGCCACTCTAGTATCTTTGCCAAGAAAACCCCAAAAGGGGTCACAAAGAGTTGGATATGACTGAAAAATGACTGAACAACAAAAATTCCATAGAAAATTGACATCTTAACTGAAAGATGAAAAGAATACAAGATCTCACTGAACTTTTTGCTTGCTAACTACAAAAAAATTGTTAATTTCAATAAATTGCTGCTCTAAAGGCTCTCTTCCAAGAAGGTGTCTAACATGCATATATCAAAACTGCAAGATTCCTTGAAAGATACAAGAGATAATCTTGTTTGATGACCCTGTGATCAGTAATATCAAGGGATGCATATTATAGGGTATGCATACCCTCCAAAAGTGTTCTACATTGTAAAGGAAGAAATACAGAGCAGAGTTCAAACTGAAAAAGGATTTCCTTTACATGATAAGGTTTTCCAGATTCTACTGTTAGTGGATAATGTGCTCATTGCATCAAATGCTAAACCACCATAGAGCCTTCTGGATGAAGTCCATAACCACTCAAAAGAACTTACCATATAGGAAAATCCAAGTAGATGAAAAATGTATTTCATCTAGAATGTGACAACATACAGTTCAACAAACTCTACAGTATGTCCATCAGTGTATGTGTGTATGTAATATTATATAAATACATAGATACATATTCATATAACCTGTGATTTCACTGGTATGGGGAACTGTCAGGGTAAAGAATCCCTCCACAACTTATAGTCTTAGAGTTACCTAAATAAGATAGCAAGGAAAAGATTTAAAATGACAGATTCCTGGTTCCCTGATGCTTCTCATCTAAAGGATGGCCGTAATATACTTATAATCTGAATAATTTCATTTTCTGAGGAATTGAAAGTTAAGAGAAATTCATTAAAATCTGGTTGTAGGTTGAGTAATTATGTGAGTTCTTAATTTTGGATGTATTTAAGCAGATGCTTTCTGCCATTATCTCCTCCTTTACCCCTGGTTCACATGAAGGGATAGTCCTCCTTGCAAAGGATAAACTTTCTACCTGCACAAGTGATCCCATTCCATCCTGTCACCTCCAACAGATGGCCTCACTCTCACTTATCTTCAATCGCTCCCTTTCTACTGGCTGCTTCTCTAGGGCTTACAAATATGTCTATGTCATCTCTGTCCTCAAAAAAATTTATTTACTCTGTCCTCACTAGCTCTCATCCTATATCTCTCCTCCCTTTTCAGGCTAAACTCCTTCAGAAGGCTATCTGCAATATGTGCTTCCACTTCCTCTCCTCTCACTCTCTACTTAACTCTTTGCAGTCTAGCTTGTGACCTCATCATTCACTCTTTTTTTTGGGGGGGGGCTAGGCAATGGGGTTAAGTGGCTTGCCCAGGGTCACACAACTAGTAAGTGTTATGTGTCCTAGCTGCCTCATGACCTCATCATTCAACCACAACTGCTTTCTCCACAGTTATTTATGATCTTTTAATTGCCAAATATAATGGTTTTTTCTCAATCCTTATCCTTCTTGACTTCTCTCTATCCTTTTACACTATCGATCATTCTATTCTCTTTGATGCTATCTTCTCTCTAAGTTTTCATGACATTCTCTCCTGGTTCTCTTCCTATCTGATTGTTCCCGGTCTCCTTTGGTGGATCTTCATCCATGTCATAGCAACCAAATATGAGTCATCCTTCACAGATGTCCTGGGCTCTCTTCTCGTCTATGTCTATAATGTTTCACTTGGTAATATCATCAGCTCCCATGGATTCAATTATCATCGATATGCAAATAATTCCCAAATTGACTTGTCTAGCCAAGTCTGCTGATATCCAATCTCACATCTCCAACTGCCTTTTAAGACATCTCAAACTCAATGCCTACAGACACCTTAAAGTCAACAAGTCCAAAACTGAACTCATTATCTTCCCCCCTCCTCCCCAAACTCTTTTTTTCTTCCTACCTTTCTTATTACTGTTGAGGGTACCACCATCCTCCCAGTCATCCAGGTTTGAAATCTAAGTGTCGTCTTCAACACATTACTCTCCCAATCTTCCCCCCCCACTTCATATCTAATCAGTGATCACGTCTTGTCATTTCTATATTTGTAACATCTTTTGTATATACATCCTTATGTCTTCTGATAACTGCCACTTCTCTGGTGTAAGCCTTCATCACTCCATGCCTAAACTATAGCAATAGCTTTCTGGATGGTCTCCCTGCCCTTCCTTCCAATCCACCCTCCACTCAGCTATCACAGTAATCTTCCTAAAGCACAGGTCTAACCATATCACACCCGCTCCCCTTCAATAAACTCCAGTGACTCCCTATCACCTCCAGAATCAAATATAAAATCCTGTGTACAAGTCCTTTATAACCTGCCTACCTTCCTTCTACCCTTCTACGGTGATAGCTGATAATAGTGATGGCATTTATATAAGTGCTCTGAAGTTTGAAAAGTGCTGTACATTTGTTGGTAGCTAGGTGGTGCAGTAGACAATTGGGCTTGGAATCAGGAAGACCCATCTTCATGAGTTCAAATCTAGCCTCAGATACTTACTAGCTATGTGACCCTGGTCAAGTCACTTTACCCTGTTTGCCTCAATTCCTCATCTGTAAAATGAGCTGGAGAAGGAAGTGGCAAATCACTGAAGTATCTTTGCCAAGAAAACCCCAAATGGAGTCCGTAAGGGTTGAACACAATTGAAGGTACGTTTGTTATTCCATTTGATCATCACAACAACCTTGTAATATTGATTATTATTCCCATTTTGCAAAAGAAGAAAAGAGCTGAAAGAGGTAAAGCAACTTTCCCAGGATCATGCAGCTTGCATCTGAGGTGGGATTTGAACTATAGGCTTCCTGACTCCAACTCCAGAAATCAACCACTGTGATACACTGATGGTAGAGGTTAACAGCACAGAGATTGGTTCCTAGAGGAGACCCCATTGGGTAAAATACCTAACGACATTTAGAAAGGACCGTTTGAAAGCTTCATAGGGCAGAGTTTTGTTCTACTTTGTTTTTTAGCAGGGGAAAAAGACAGGTGTTTTATTTTATTTTTTTTAACACACTTCTTGGCAAAATTGCTAGAATAATGGGAAGAGGAAGTATAAAGAGAAGGCTGGGACCAGACTAGGCAAGGTGAAAACTGAATGAGGAGACTGGCATGAGCAGAATAGAGCACAAAAGGAACCAAAAGGTTAAAAGACATCCAGTGCAGGCCTGAACTACCAAAGGAAGAAGTAAATACAAGAATTCATTAAAAGACACACTAATTACAACCATGAATTTGAACAGGTATTAATTACGTGCTTCAATAATTAGGAAACCCAAGAGAAGAGTTGAATTCTTGGTGCTGCTTGGAAACATGCTGAGATTGCTGACCAAGAGAAAAATAACACCAATGGGTCTATTTGAAGAATCAACATCTATTATTTAATAAAGGGAGAGTGGGGTTTCCTCATTAACTATCTCTCAGGGGTGTATCAAAGACACCCCAAGACATAAGGTGTGCTAAATCTAGGAGTAATTCAAAAGTCAAGAATGATAAACCCTTTGTGTGTAAACAGTGCTAGTTAAGAAAAACTGTATCAAGTGATCTCAGCAGTCAGTGAATGGCAGTACAAGAATGCCCAGGATCTTAACTTCCTTCCAGATTTGTGCTTCTGCCCACCTTATTTGATTACCCTGGACTCTGAGTGGGCAGAGTGGACTGGAGGAGGTCCTTCATTCACCTGCAGCCAGGATGGTAATAACTTGAGGGGTCGGGGGGACTCTGGGAAAGCCTCTCCTCTCTTCCCTGAATGCACTCCTCAATTCCTAACACTCTTCTGGGATTCAGTCATCCAGATCTCTCGGAATAAAGGGCCCCTGATCACAAAAGCCATTGTCTCAGAAATCCGCAGGCAGGCGGACGAGAGCAGCCCACGCGCAGCAGCTGGCGAGAAGGCGCAAGGGAGCGCAGCGTGAAAAATGAACTGGGGGCCCAGACCGGAATGGAAACAGGGCCGGAGTGAGGAGGGGCAGCTGGAGCCCCTCAAATCCCCAGCTTCTCTACTCCCAACCCCATCCCAGCCGCTGGCTAAAGCGGAGAAGCCCCCAACCGCACCCCAAGGCTAACACTCGGGGATTTCCTTCCCTGTAGCTGGCACTTAAGAAATTCCTGGGAGCAGCCTTCCAGAATAAGGTTTCCTTATTGCTGTCGAGATCCTATGAGCAGACCTGACCTCCAAACACAGATCAAAGGCGAAGCCACCCTGGCAAGAAAATTGCTGCATTGCTTCCCTACCCACACCTCACCCAACCCCACTTACCCCCCCCCCCGTTCGGTCCAGTGTCACGTGGGCCCCGGTGCGGAAGTGCCACCGGTAAAGTCGGAGCGATCAGAAATCTCCCTCCCCCCCTTTCTAGGGGAGAATGCCACGCGCCCGGCTCCCCCAGTCCCCCAGCCTCAGACGCTCGCCTCCAAACTCCCGGCTCATTTCGCTGTCCCTGCGTGCCCCATTCCCCATCGCAGCTCCTCATGCACAACCTCTCTTTCTCCTCCCCAGGACTTTACCCGGCAAACCTTGTTTCCTTCGGGTTTTAGCCCTTGTACTCAGCCAGGCTGGCGGGATCTTCCCTCGGCGCTCACTCACCTCTCAGTCCACAGCCACTCGTTTGGGTGGAGTGATTTCTTTTTTTCTCTTTTTTTCTTCAATGAAAAAAGGATTTCAGTGACTGCACAGAGCCGGCTGTCTTCTGCCAGACGCCGGCAGGAAGAGGGACAAGGAAGGAAGCTTATGAAACAGAGAGAAAGGCATGTGAGGGGGAAGAGGGTGGGGAAAAAGTATGAGTTAAAGTGCCTAGGAAAGGGGCCGCCCACACTCCCACCCTATAAGGAGGGGTTCGAAGGGAGGAGAAGAAAAAGGGGAGGACCAGTCCCTAGTCTGGGAGAGGGGGACCAACGCTTTTATTAACAGTAAGTTCGATCTGTTACTTCTGCAACTTCCTTCCTTCGATAGACCGATTAATTTTTATCTTCTCTACATAAGTTACTGAAGTGTTAATGTTCACCAGGCAGCATTCAAGGTCAGTAATACTCAACAGCTATCCCCTCTGGGGAAAAACTTAATATCTAAGAGCAAGAAAAGGTGTAAAGTGATAACTGGTATTGACGCTCTGGGATCAGGATTGAACCTGTAATTTCATAACATGGAATTCTCAAATGAGAAAACCCTTTCTGCCAGTGCAAGTCAGCATCTTCTCTGAATCTTATAGAGAATTAGCCCAATCACAAGACAATGTAACAGAGGAACTTGAACTCAGATCATTATGACCCAAAGGCCACTGTGTTCACTACTCCATGACCTACGTTCTGAAGCTCAGGGGGGAAAAAATCAACTGAATGGTGTCAGTCCGAATTCAAACCCTGGTCTTCTGATTCCAAATACAGTATGCTTTTTCCACTTAGTCACTACTTTTTAAAAAAATCTAGTCTACTAACCCACACATCTACTTTTCTGTTTCAAAAAAAAAAGTTTAAAAACAGACATTTGTGGTAGAGGTAGGAGGACTTGCAGTCTTATGATTTATTCAATCATCCTTGAATCTTCTTCAGTTTTTGACACTCAATCATCCTCTTCTCTCCTCAATATCCTCTTCTCTCCAGGGTTTCATGACACTACTCTCTCCTGGTTCACCTGCAATCTGTCTCTAACTACTCCTCTGTCTCCTTGCCAGATTTTCACCCAGGTAATTCCTATCAAACAAAGGGGTCCCCCAAAACTGTGTCCTGGGCCTTCTCCTATACTATCACTTGGTGTTTTCACGAGCTCCCATGGTTTCAATTATCATCTCTATGCAGTTGACTCTCAGATCTACTTGTCCAGCCCTAACCTCTCTCCTAACCTCAAGTCTTGCATCTCCAACAGCCTGATGGACATCTCAAACTGAATGTCCCATAAATATCTTAAACTAACATGTCCAAAACTGAACACATTATCTCTTCTCCTCCAAATCCTCTCCTCTTCCAAATTTCTTTATTATTATTCAGGGTACAATTATCCTTCCAGCCACTCAGGCTCACAACCTAGGTATCATCTTCCACTCCTCATTTTCTCACCCCCTTCTCATATTGGATTAGTGTTCAAATCCTGTCATTTCTACTTTCTTTCTTTTTTTTAGGCAATTGGGGTTAAATGACTTGCCCAGGGTCACTAGTGTCAAGTTTTTGGTCTGAGGCCAGATTTGAACTCAGGTCCTCCTGACTTCAGGGCCAGTGCTCTTTCCACTGCACCAACTAGCTGCCCCTCATTTCAACTTTTGTAACACCTCATATATTCCTCTTCTGCTCTCACACTTACTACCCTAATGTAGATATGCCTTCATCTCAGCTAAATGAGACAATTGTGCAAAGTCATCAGCCTCACTCTCTTCCAGAGTCATCAAAAGTCCAGTGGCAGGACAAAAGTTAAAATGACTGCTGATGGCCTGGGATTCAGTGACCTTGGCATCTTCAATGTCTGACTAAACTGCTCCAGCCACATTCATGGCAGTTGGAACAAATTATTCTCTTCTGCCCATTCTACCAGAAACAGTCTTCACAGGCTTGAGGTAGATATTCCCTAATTCAGCGACAGGTTTGAGGCCTGTCAGTTACCCTCAATCAGGGTGTGGCCACTGCCCATGCTACTGGTTTTTGGAGCCACAGGAGAGAGTTGGATGATAGGTGGACACCAAAGGTAGATGAGCAGCCCTGAAAAGGGCTCAGCAAGCCCTCACATCAAAGGTGCTAGTCCTCCCTGAATACCTTCCCCCTACCCAGGACTAGAGGAGAAACAGAGTAGAGATAGTAGAAAGGAAAAGTATGTAAAGAATTAATAAAAGAATTAATCTTTTTCTTTTTACTTGGGAATGTCAATCAGACCAGAACCGGCCTCTCACCTGGGAATGCCTGGAGCCAAACAGAGCAGACCAGAGGCAAGTGTGTCAGGGATTAAACAAGTTTAATCAATTTCAGAGTAAGGAAAATGCTTGTAAGCAGAAACCCCCTTCCTGAGAAGGAGGGCTTAACATGCTGGGGCAAAGGCAGGTCTTATATACATAAAAAAACCACAAGCAGGCTAGACCACAACACAGTCATTCTTAGCAGTTCCCATGGCAGGCTCATATGTGGACAATGCAGGCATTCTTGGGTCCTGTGGAAGCAGTTCTTAAGTTGACTGTCTTAAGTCTTAAAGATCTTTGAACTTTGTAATTCAGTGGGTACAGAACCAGAGTTAGCATAGCAGAAACAGGAGTGCAGTACCTGGTTGGGTTCACTTGGCTGTTACAAGAAACAGGGATTGTGAGCATGTCAAGAGATGTGATAGAAAGCTTTAGGCTGTAGCACATTGGCTCTCAGGTCCCTGAGAAATAAGGTGAGCTCCAACATATCTAGACAATTATTGATTAATAAGAAAATCATAAATTCCTCAGTGAACACCTGGTGCTGATCAAAGCAATACACTTTGCCAGAGGGTGAGATCATCCAGAGCACAAAGGATTGTTGTTATGCCAAGCTCAGGGCACAATCTACTTGCTGGGCCTTAGCTCTGGGAAATAGGGTGTCTCCAAATATCTTGACAAGAACAACTGTAAGTTTCTAAGCTTTTATGTAGATCATACTTAACTGTAAGCATCACATTTTGTTACCACCTTTAAAATGTCTGTAGGATAAGAAAATTAAAAAGTAAATATTTCTTGGGAAGTAATCCTATAACCACTTTATAACTAATTATAATCATTTTAGAAAATATTTCTTGCTTTTTTGATAAAGAAGAAATGTGACACATGTATAATTGATATCATATTGATTGCCTTCTAAATGGGTGGGAGAGGGGCTGGAGGGAGGGAGAGAATTTGAAACTGAAAATTTAAAAAAAAATGCTAAAATAAACAAATAAAGTATAATTATAAAAATAAAAATACAAAAAAGGAAGAAATGACAATATTCAGTTGGGAAAATATATTTGCTGCTTGCTCTAGGCACTTCAAAGTATTAGTTTTTATAGCTGTTCCCATTGTAGAAATAATCATTTTGCACAGAGCTTGATATAGAATACAGAATAGCTGGCACAATAAATAGAGTGCTGGGTCTAGAGTTAGGAAGACTTGAATTCAAATCCAGCCTCAAGATACTTACTAGCTGTGTGACCCTGTGCAAGTTATTTAACCTTGGTCTGCCTCACTTTCCTCAGCAGTGAAATAAGGATAATAATAGCAACTACCTTTCAGGCTTGTTATGAAGATCAAATGAGATAGTATTTGTAAAGCTCTTAGCACAGCACCTGGCATATTGTAAGTTCTTAATAAATGCTTGTTTCCAGACATAAAGAACACTATGAGCAAAAGAACAGAGGTGAGAAAGTATGGAATTAATACTGGGGATGGTAAGTGGCCTAATTTGACTGGAAAATAGATAGATAAGTAGAAGTAATATTGAATAATCCTGGAAAGGCATATTGGGACCATGGCATTGAATGCCTTAAGTACCAAGCTGAGGAATTTGCATTTAATTCAGAAGGAAATGGGAAATCATTAAGAGTCTTTAAACTAGAGGGAAATCTAACCAGAACTATTTTTAAAATAGTATTTTATTTTTTCCAGTTATATATAAAGACAATTTTTAACTTTCATTTTTACAAAATGAGTTCCAAATTTTTCTCCCTCTTTCCATCTCCTCCTTTCTTCCTAAAACGGTCAGCAATTTGATATAGGTTATATTGTGCAATCATGGAAAACATATTTCTGTATTAGTCATATTGTGAAAGAAGAAACAGACCAAAAAGGAAAAAAAAATAAAGTGAAAATAGTATGCTTCAATCTGCATTCAGAGAGAATTTAGAAGTGGAAATGGAGCAGCAAGCAGGGACTGGAGTTAGGATGTGTCCTTTCTCTTTTTTTTATCAATTAATTTATTTTTAATTTTCAACATTCACTTTTATAACATTTTGAGTTCTAAATTCCCCCCCAAGACAGCATGCAATCTGATATAGACTATACATGTATGATCATATTAAACAAATTTCCACATTAGTCATGTTATGAAAGAAGAACCAGAACAAAAGGGAAAAACCACGAGAGAGAAAAGCAAAAAAAAAAAAAAGAGAGAGAGACAGAGACAGAGAAAATAGTATGCTTTGATCTGCATTCAAACTCCATAGTTCTTTCTCTGGGTGTGGATAGTATTTTCCATCATGAGTCCTTTGGAATTGCCTTATATCATTGTATTGCTAAGAGGAGCTAAGTCATTTGTAGTTGATCATCACACGATGTTACTGTTACTGCGTACTCCTGGTTCTGCTCATTTCACTTTGCATCAGTTTGTACAAGTCTTTCCAGGTTTTTCTGAAATCTACCTGCTCATCATTTCTTATAGCACAGTAGTATTCCATTACATTTATATAACACAGCTTGTTCAGGCATTCCTCAATTGATGGGTATCCCCTCAATTTCCATTTTTTTGCCACCACAAAAAAATCTATTATAATTATTTTTGTGCAAGTAGGTCCTTTTTCCTTTTTTATGATCACTTGGGGATACAGACCTAGTAGTGGTATTGCTGGATCAAAGAGGGCACACATAAGAACTATGTTTTTTGAAATAATAGTCTAGCAACAGTGTATAGCATGAATTGAAAGGGAGAGAAATTGGCAGTGAGGAAGCCAAAGAGAAAGCTAATGTCAGAATCCAGGTGAGAGATAATAAGGGTCTGTATTGGGGTAGCAATAGAAATGATAAGGAAGGAACAAATGCTAGAGATGTTGCAAAAATAGACTCAACAGAACTAAGTT